ATATCTAGACTGGCCATTAAGGGATTCCCTGGAGTTCAAAACACTAAAATAAAGCATTGCTACAAAAAAAGGATCATAATACTGATTTTCAAACAGCATAGTTTCTTAATAAGTTTTCAAGATTTATTAAGAATTTTGTTTTGGTTCAGCTTTGTTATTTCCTAGAATACTGTCTGCTTAGCTGCAGACAGACACATTTTCTCTTAGTATATTTAAAGGAACATCTTTGATAGCTGCCACAGGGTCACTCAAAGCAGAACAGAAGAGTGCCTTATTCTTCAGCTTGGTCCCTGGATGAGGAGTTTCATAGCAGACATGCTTCTTATCAAATGTCAAGACGTGCATATTGGACTGCATTCTACCTTTTATGACAGTTGTAACACATCTCAGCTGTCTTTGTAAGGCTTTTTTTTTTCATTAACTGTCAGTGGATTGGAACCGTAATAGATTTTCCCTGCAAATATTATTCATAAGCAATACTTCACTGTAGTTTACTTTTTTTAAGTTTGTTTATTTATTTTGAGAGAGAGAGAGAGAGAGAACATGCAGGGAACAAGCAGGGGAGAGGCAGAGAGAGAAAGAAACAGAGGATCCAAAGTGGACGCTGTGCTGATAGCAGAAAGCCTGATAAAAGGCTCAAACTCACGAACCATGAGATCATGACCCGAGCCAAAGTTAGATGCTTAACTGACTGAGCCACGCAGGCGCCCCATTTCATTGTAGTTTAAATGAATAGGTGAAGAGCTCATTTTATTTTTTTTTAAAAAAAATTTTTTTTTCAACGTTTATTTATTTTTAGGACAGAGAGAGACAGAGCATGAACGGGGGAGGGGCAGAGAGACAGGGAGACACAGAATCGGAAACAGGCTCCAGGCTCTGAGCCATCAGCCCAGAGCCTGACGCGGGGCTCGAACTCCCGGACCGCGAGATCGTGACCTGGCTGAAGTCGGACGCTTAACCGACTGCGCCACCCAGGCGCCCCAAGAGCTCATTTTAAAAATCAAGAGTATTTTAAAAGTTTAGTGAGTTTTGAGAATTCAGTTACCAAAATACATTTTATGGGCTCAACACTGGTCTTGTGGATTCTGTCTATCTATCTATCTATCTATCTATCTATCTATCTATCTTCTACATATCTATATTTTTAGAGAGAAAAAGCGCACACAAGCAGGGGAGGGGTAGACGGAGAAGTGGGGAGAGAGAGAATCTTAAGCAGACTCAATACTCAGCATGGAGCCCAATGCTGGCTCAATCTTAAGACTGGGATTGTGGCCTGAGCCAAAATCAAGAGTTGGACACTAAACTGACTATAACCTCTGTAACTGATAATTTAAAATATATGAAGGTAGTTTATATGTACTTATATCAATCATTCTTATTAACGTAAAGAGTTTGGGAGCCTTTAAACAAATATATAAAAAGGTTAAAATTCACAGTATGTTTTATTTGTCATATTGCTCAAAACTGCATTATTTTTGAGGTTCTCAATTCCAGAATTATTAATTTAAAACTCATAATTGTTTTGTTGCTCATATTGAGTTCCAAACTTATTTTTCTGTTAGATTCACAAATCCATAATTTCACTTTTGCTATTTCACTTAAATTTTAGCTATATTTTTACAACAAGCTATAGGCCTCTGAAAGTTAGATTCCCCTTACACCTTATTATGCCACATTTTCCAAATATTATTTTATCTCCTTTCTCTCCAAACTGGCTCCTCTACAACAATCTCTTTTCTATAAGTGATTTCATTATTGTTTCCAGTTCCTTAACTTAAATATGTACTTTTCCTCTCTACTTCATGTTTTTCTTCTCCTCCATAGCTAAGAATTCTTATTAGATCTTCTCCATAATGTCTTAAGTTTGTCCTTTACTCTCCAAGCTCCTGCTGCTTATCACAATAAAGACCTAGATTGCCTTATAAAGCTCCCACATTGGTTTCCCAGTTTATTGCTGGAATAGATGTAACATGTCATGGAACACATATAACATTACTCTTTTGCTCAAACATCTACCACTTAATCTGATCCCATTTATCTTTAGTTATTTTACCTTATCCATTTCTTTTCTTAGATCCCATACCCAACTTGGGGCTCTAACTCATCACCCCAAGATCAAGAGTTGCCTGCTCCACTAACTAAGCCACCCAAGTGCCCCCAAAATTTCTATTTTTAAAAGTAAACTCTATACCTAACATGGGGCTTGAACACATGACCCCAAGGTCAAGAGTTGCATGCTCCACCCACTGAACCAGCCAGGCACCCCTATCCATTTCTAATATGAGCTCTCTACCTCAGTTCAGTTTGAGATCCTCACTATCATCCTTTACCCTCTGTCTTCTTAGAGTTACCTCTCGACGAGGAGTCAGTGGGCCTATTGCCAAAGGAATGACTAGGCAGAGTTCCTGCTGGGTCCCTAAGTGGATGGGACCACCTCCAGGACCATGGTTGAGCAGGGTGGAAATGTGATTATGGAACCACTTCTGTATCTCCAGATGTTAGGCCTGTTACCTGGGATGCAAGTAGATTTGGCCCCTGCCACATCCCTGAACACTCTCCTGCCAGGGCCTGGCAGG